AGAGCTGATGGCAGAATCTGAGATTGAAGAATGTGAAGGAGGACTTTGGGATGTTGTTGATGAAACAGGAAATGGACAGAGAGTAAATGAGATACTCAAGCAGGAAACGAAGAAGCAACTCGATGCAGTTTCTGAAAGAGAAGAAGGCGCTATTTATTGGGAGGAGAATGCAAAGAAACCAAATGAGGATTTTAAATCAGAAAAGAACGATGAGAAGTCAGAGGTAGCTTGCAAACAAGAGAAGATTGAGAGGGACAACAAGGTGAGTTTCAAGATGGACCCAATAGTTCAGGATGCAAAAGGTGCTTTTGAGTGGGAGCAGGAGGACAGCCAATTTAGAGTGGCTCTCGAGAGAAAAGAGCATGAAGGAGAACAAAATGATGCTGAAGAAGGAGAAGAAACTGAGGGAAGACTGAATGTTGCTTATGAAGGAGAAGATGATGATATGGAAATGACTGAGGTTTTGGAGCAGCAAGAAAATAAGAGAGAATCCCCTTTGACTTCCAGATTAGAATTTGAGAACATATCTGAAGAGGCCGGTGAGATTGAAGAAACTGAGCAAACAATTGTTTGTGATGTTAAGTGGGATGAATTGCGCGAACAGACCGAAGATAGCTCCCCAATTGAAATGGTTGGGTCTGTTTTGAAGCAGAACTCTAATGTTGAAGTTCGCAAGGATGCTACGACGATTGATTGGGCTGGCCAACCAAACTATGAGACTCTACTTGTGAACAAAATGTCCAAGAAGACGGAGGAAGACGGAGGAAAGCTGGAAGCAATGCAATCAGACCTTTCCTGCAAAGAAAATGAGAGATTAGAAACTGAGTTGCAAAATTGTGAAAAAGAATCAGAAGTTGGACTGACCAATCTGCTGCCTAAAGATGGATGCAACTCTGTTTGCAAGAGACAAGATCTCTTGGAGCATGGGAAAGACCCAATTAGAAGAGCAGATGCAATAGTGTCTACTTCTTCGAATGAGCATTTGACCAATCCAAGTGGAGCTGGTGTCTACATAGATAAAGCATCGGATAGACTGAAGAAGACAGCCTCTGAAATGGGAAACCATCCTGATCAAAGAAATGGAAAACCTCCTGAATGTCTGGCAGTGAATACCAATGGATTTCAGTCTGGCAGTAACCAGGAAGTTTCAGAGGAAAAGTTTACAGGTAATAATCACTCTAACCATAGAAATGGAACAAATGCTGAAGGGCCAAGAGTGAACACCAAGGTTGTTCAGTCTGGAACTAAGCAGGAAGTTATGGAAGAAAAGTTTACATCTCAAAACATTGCCAGGGAATGGGCCACAAATGCAAAGAAAAGTGGAGATGCTTTGGCTGCTGTGCTAGAGGATGTTGGAATCCTGTCAAGTACAGACCAGAGAGCCGCAACTGGAAGTTCCCAGAAGAAAGAGAGAAATTCATATAAAATCATTACTCCTGAGGCCCAAAAAACGGATGAGCGACTGAAAAAAGAAAGAGAAATAGAGGAAGAATATATGAGAAAGCTAGAAGAAGAGAGGGAAAGAGAAAGGGAAAGAGAAAAGGATCGGATGTCTGTAACTCGTGAAGCTCTGGAAAGGTCATATCTTGAAGCCCGTGGGAGAGTAGAAAGAGCTGCCATGGAGAAATCTGCAACTGAAATACGTCAAAGAGCTATGGCGGAGGCCCGAGAAAGATTAGAGAAAGTATCTGCAGAGGCTAGAGAGAGATCTTCAGCAGAGCAGGCAGCTACGGAGGCTAGGCTCAAGGTGGAGCGGGCTGCAGTGGAAAGAGCAACTGCAGAGGCTCGACAACGAGCTTTTGAGAAAACAATGGCTGAGAAGGCTACCCAGGAATCATGTGACCGAGTGGAAAGATCATCTTCTGAAAAGTTTTCTGCTTATTCTAGGAGCACAGAAATGAGACAGAGCTCTTCTTCTGTGAGTATCTCTTCCTTCTTAAATGTAGAAATGCATGCTGGTTGCCTACTTATTGGGGTTTGTTGACAGGAACAACATGCGCATCAGAGCACAGAAACCTCGAAATTGAGATATTCATATTCTTCAGCTCATGCTGGTATGTAGATGAAGCACAAAGATTCTCCTTCTTTCTTTGGTTTATAGTCTAGTTTTCCCTCATGTTTCCTGATCCATTAGTTAGGCATTCTGAATTTCCTGTTTGTTTAGTAGCCTAAGTAGCTTTTTGCGATTAATTTTTTCTTGTGAAGCTTCTAGTAAGATTAAATGCTTTGTAGGCATTGAAGGTGAATCACCTCAAAGATGTAAAGCGCGGTTGGAGAGGTATCGCAGAACATCAGAGCGTGCAGTATGTGCTTCCTAACCATCTTGTTCCTGTTAGAAGATAATTTTCTTTTGTATATATTAAACTTTTTTTGGCTTGATTTTAGGCCAAGGCCCTAGCAGAAAAAAATATGCGTGATTTTCAAGCTCAGAGAGAGCAAGCAGAGAGAAATGTATGTATCCATCTCTTTGAATAACACCATATATCATGAATGATCTACATTTCGTATTGTCTTATCTGAGGCATTTCTGTGCAGAGATTGGCTGAAACTCTGGATGCTGAAGTGAAAAGATGGTCAAGCGGGAAAGAAGGCAATCTACGTGCATTGCTTTCAACGTTGCAATATGTATGCCTGCTCTTCTAATGCTTTTCTTAATTTAATCAACTATTAAATGCTTGTTGAAATAGTGTCAAATTCGTCTTAATTCTATACCAAATATATATTCATCAGTATAGCCGAAACAATATTTGATTTATGTTTTACAGATTGACCTTTGCTTAGTCATTTGACTGCTTAAGTCGAAGGTGTTTCATTCTCATTTAATAGTTCTTTTCAACCAAAAAAAGTTGGTGTATTGAGTCATAAATCTTAAGCCAAATTTGGCTGCTCAATCTAGCCTTTACTTGGTCTCTTCCTTTAATTACCTCTGTCAAATTATTGGAGTGGGTAAATGTGACTATCAAAACAAAAAGTCCTAACATTTGCTGACAGGACGGTGGTGCAGTTGAAACAGAAACGTAAAAGAATGTCACATCCATATTTTATAACTCTTATGTGCTTCTTGGTCATTTTTATTGAGGATTTTACTTGTCAAATTGTTACATATGGCCCGTACTATTAATCATAGCACTGAGAAAGCTCAGGCTGACATCAGAACATGACTGCATGACATGTCAGTAGTATAGATTAATTTTGAGTTCTTAGTAGTAACTTATAGCAGCCTTTTCGCACTTGTCATCATCTGATTTTTGGTCAACCTCTACAATTTTGAAACTCAAGAGTTTCTATTCCTTATTGCAGATTCTTGGGCCTAATAGCGGTTGGCAGCCAATTCCACTAACAGAAGTTATAACTTCTGCAGCGGTGAAGAAAGCTTATAGGAAAGCTACACTTTGTGTGCATCCCGACAAATTACAACAGCGAGGTGCTAGTATTCATCAGAAGTATATATGCGAGAAAGTCTTTGATCTTTTAAAGGTGTGTTTTCTGATTTAGCTTTCTTTACTTATCAACTTGATACAGCCTGTCCATTTTCTGTACACCAATGCAAGCTTCTGGTAGTTTGAATTAGCCAGCAAGAAAATATTCTGTATGTACCTATTCATTGCCAGTTAGGACCTAGGTTCAGACGTAGATTCAAGTTCTTAGAAATTAAATTTACATATTTGGAAACCACATAAAAGTACTATAAGTCATTTAATAGTTAATAGTTCAAAATATCTAAAAATATTTATGAGAAATGTAGTCAAGGAAGAACCACTTTGACTTCCCAAATAGTAATGTTGCCACATAAATTGGGACAGACTAGTTGCCATGTCAATCATCTTAACCCTAATCCAAACTAGTTGGCTGGCTCAATATATTCTCTGTATAAATTCCATTCTAGTCAAGCCCATTTTAGTAGTTGTAAGATGCCAACCGAAAATTGGTTTACAGTGTCTAGTTAGTTATAGAACAAACAGGGTGACATTTATTACGTAGTATTTTAGCTATCACGATAGCGAAGTTTCATTTGATGACCTTACTAATCGGAAAAAATAAAAGAAAAAAGAACTCTAATAACTAATATGTAATGTGATATCCATGTGGCTTCTTCATTTCTTTTGTTCTCTCTTCATACTCCTCTTCTTTAAGCCTTTTTTTGTGTTAATTGTCTGTTCGTATGAATCAATAACTGTAATCAGAATGGCCTTATTTTGTGGTGACCTAATAACAGACTATCATCTGCGACCTTATAGAATTTACCCCGGCATCCTTACTCTTAAAAGTTTTTCTTCCTACCAGCTTCACCTCCCCCTCTTCTTCCCACGGTTCGTTCCCTTTATTGTCTTCTTTGAATTATCGTAGTGGTTATCGTTCTTCTGTGTCTACAGGAAGCATGGAACAGATTCAACTCTGAGGAGAGGTAGTTGAAGACTTGTTTGCTCAGTTGAACATATAATTTGCACAGTAGTGAGTAAATTCTGTTTCTTATAAATTTTTTTGCTTCTTCACGTAAGCACAAACTTTAGAAATATGCCCTGAAAAAAAATGGGCTAACATGGCTATTCATTGAAATGAAATTTTACATGAAAAGGCTATATTATCGTGTTATGATGATATTTGTTCTTATTATTATTATTACTATGGATATTATCAATATTATCTCTAGTTTCCCAGAATGATTACCAAAGATGGTAATTGTTTTGGCAAATGATGCGCAAGAGCCTTGGAAACAGTTCTTCCACAAAATTAGATCTTGCTTGTGCAAAACTTATAAAATGGAATATTAATATGTCCTTGTATTAGGATCCAGATCCTGCAGTGATTCTAGTTTTTTTTTTCTGCAAAATATACCTAGAATTCTCTGATATCCTACCTGCCTGAATTAAGCAAGATGAGAATTTCTGTATATTCATTGACCATTGTACTCATTTTGTATTGAAAAACCTCAAACAGATATCAAGAACCAAGAAGAACATGTTGCTAGGCAAGATTGCCTTTTTATTTTGTTAGGTTGTGGTTCTAGATTTCACCATTGGTAAGCTTTCCTGTACAATTGGCAACTGGTGCATTCTCCTTGCCACTTGAATAGTTTTCAGTAGGAATGGGAATTGCTTCTTTGTCTCTTCCATTGTCTGCAGTGCTTTGGGTAGAAAAGGGAAGCAGCTGCTTCTGTCGGCAAGTCTCAATTGCCCCTTTATACATATCCTCCAAAGTGTATTTGAATAGAAACCCCATATCCATAAGCTTCTTTGATGAAAAAGACACTATGGGTAAGTCCTTATCGATACCCTTAAACCTGTTATTTTACCAGATTGAGTTACCAAGCCATCACTCTATGAAGGAGCCAAGTATACTTAGGAATACAGAGGAGCAGAGAGGCTTACTCAGTAGGAACATAGTACTCTGGCCATTTCTGTCGCACCATCTTAGCCACATCGTAGATGATAGCATGATGGGACGAGCAAATGAATCTTCCCTCTGCCTTGGGGTGCTCATACAGGAATATATGAGCCTCACAAAGATCATCCAAATGCACATATTGACCTTGTTTAATGATGCCGTAGTGAGCTTCATTCCCTGCACATCTCAATCCGATTATGCCCATGATTGTGAAAAGCTGTTTATTAAAGTAATTACTGGGATTGAAGGATGTGACTGTCTTCTGTACATTGTGATTACATCATACCGGTAATTAGTGAAAGGGCAGTGATTAAGCTAGGTGGGAACGTAGGTGTGATGAATGGGCCAACAACCAGTGGTGGTATGATGCTAATGAGATCAATGTTATTCTTCTTAGCTTCTTCCATTGCAGCCTTCTCTGCCAGTATCTTGGAAACAAAATACATCTGCAATCAAATTAAATTCACAAAGCAATGTGATGAAAAATACTGTTTTTTTTTTCATAGGTATTCTTAAAAGAAAAGAATAGCCAAACGAACCCATCCTGTCATCTTCTTAGCATATATGAAGTCCAAATCGCTCCAGCTGGTCTCGTCACAAAAGAGTTTTTGGTCCTCTTGGACATCAAGAGCTCCAGCAGATGAAGTGAAAACCAGCCTCTTCACTGTGTTAGCTTTAGCACATGATTCTATGATACTTAACACTCCCCTGACTGTTGGTTTAATTACTTCGTTCTGTCACGTATATCAATGTCATAAGAGTTATGTTAGTATTAATCATCCAGAAATGTAAGAAGTCCATTAGTATTGATGAGTTACTCTGTTACTTTATAGTACCTCTGGGTCCTTGGACTCGAAATCCATCGGTGTAGCCACATGAAATACTCCTTGACAGCCTTGAATGGCTTCATCAAAGCTTCCTTCCACTGCCAAGTCTGCTTTCCACAGCGTTAAGTTTGTATCAGCTTTTGGCAGTTCCAACAGATGTTTCACCTTCTTCTGGTTCTCTACAAAAGTTGATGCATCTTTATATAAGGGTCATTGCATACAACGAGACACATCTCTCTGGATCCTCAAAATGCAGCTTTGTACAGATTGATTAATGGGTTTATAAATTATTTGACAATCTATAGAAGTTAAACTCTTAAATAAAATGAAAACGTACCAGGATCACGAACAGTAGCATGGACATTATAACCGCGTTCAAGGAGTCTCATGACAAGCCAAGAGCCGATAAATCCAGCTGCTCCTGTGACGCAAACCGTTGGCGTCTTCGGAGGAGAATGGGCATCAACAACTGCATGAACTTCACTTGCCATTTTCAGAAATGAGAGGAAAAAAGAGTCAGAAAATTTAACCTCAAGTGACTGGACTTAATTACCACTAGTATATGAGCTTTTAGTTATGTTTATGTATTTTGTTTTTATACTGCTTGCACGTAGAGGTGTTAGGAGTGGTAATGTTAGATGGTAAGCACGTGCTCAACTTACCAAATATGACTGGTTGGTGAAAGAGGAAGGGTTAGTGTGAAGTGTTTTGCCACTTTCTTATCTGCATATATAATAAAGAATTATGTTGTACGGTATTTGATTTCACTTTTTTAAGCCGAAGATTCTATCAAAAACAACTTTTCAATAAAAAAAATCATATGCATTCAATATATCTTCGCTTGTGGAATTATATTGAACATGTTATTATTTTGTTTGAAAGCTCATTACACCTGAAGTTAATAATGAATCAATTTCACATTAATGCTTTTGAAAATTTAAAAACAATTATTCTCTTTGTTTCAATTTGTTTATCATACTTTCATTTTTAGTCTATTTAAAAAAGAGTAAATCTTTTCTTTTTTGGCACTACTCTTTAATTTCAAGTTTTCACATGACATGTTTAACACTACAAGATTCAAATATGTTTTGGTGCATTCTATGTATCTTTAGTTCAAGTCTACAAAATTCAAAAGTTCTCTTAATTTTCTGCAACTCCGTATAAAGTAAAAAACCAGAAAATCAAATTGAAACAAAAAAGTATAAAAATGGATGAACTTTTTTGTTTTGCAGGTATGCTAAACATTTTCTTTACCTGTTTAAAAATTTCAATTTGAATCGTTCTAGAGATGTTTATATGCACTTGCAATGCTTGCCGCAGTTTTAAGGGACACTATATAGTCATCACTATTCACTCAAAACAACAGCTTGCAGGTGTATAATATACATAAATTATAATCATATATATTTAATTAGTGGAGATAACTATTTTCGTCCGATGTCAAATACTATGTAACTTGTGTTTTTTTTTTGGGAAAAGGCTCAAATATGCCATCGAACTTTCAGAAAAGGCTCATTTATGCCATCCGTTAAAAGTTTGGCTCATCTATGCCATTACCGTTTAAGAAAAGGCTCATTCATGCAATTATTTTTTAACGGTGGTTTTGCAAAACCATTTTTTACACGTGGACAATTATAATTCGGCCACGTCATTTTTTTTAATAACAAAAAATTAAAATTCTGAACAAACATTTTAACGGTGGTTTTGCAAAACCATTTTTTACACGTGGCCAATTATAATTCGGCCACGTCATTATTTTTTTATAATAAAAAATCAAATTTCTGAACAAACATTTTAATTTTAATTTTTTATTATAAAAAATAATGACGTGGCCGAATTATAATTGGCCAACGTGTAAAAAAACGGTTTTGCAAAAACCACCGGTTAAAAAATAATGGCATGAATGAGCCTTTTCTTAAACGGTAATGGCATAGATGAGCCAAACTTTTAATGGATGACATAAATGAGCCTTTTCTGAAAATTCGATGGCATATTTGAGCCTTTTCCCTTTTTTTTTTAACCTACAAAAGGATCCAAATAGTGATGAATATCATAAACTTTAACAAGGTTTCAAATTCTTAAAAAAGAAAAGAAAATTTCAACAGCTGATGAAATCTTTTAACGAACTTTCTATCACTTTTGCTGCTTTCTTTAAAACGGACTGGATCCATTCAAACACGTTGGTCTTTTACTAATCATATAATAATATATCCAAATTGATTTGTTTTCAACAAAACTAAAAATATGTATATACTTAAAAACTAAAATTTGTCATATATTAGTATATTTCATAGCATGCCTAATTTGAACTTGGAAACACCATAGTCACACTTCCATTATTAATATTGTTGTTGGCCAGATATGTCAATTAATTTGATTTAGAAGAAGAAGTCAAAACAAGGATTAATTCCAGCTCTGCTCTGCCATGTATATATTATATATATAGTACTTAATTTCAACACCCTTAACAATAACATAGCGCACGCAAATTTTGACAACTAATAGTAGGAATTAATTTATTAACTCCTTTAGCTAGCTAGTATCCCAACCTAACTACTACTCCTATATAACATATGCTTTGTTTTTAATTTCTTCATCTGTCAGTCTCTCCCTTCATTTTAAGCAACATATAATTCAAGAAATTTGGGTATTGTTTCACATTTTTGTAACTTGTACGTACACTAATTAATTAAATCTAAGTGATGTTAAGAGCAATGAGTACACGAAGGGACTATAGAGGATATGGAGTATTGATTAAGGAAGATCAGGAGGAGATTTGTGCTCCAATATTGGGAAAGCCTAAATTGAGCAGAAACAGAACAGTTCCTGCTGCTACTAAATTCTTTAGCTCTTCATCAAAGAAGGTCACATCTGAGGACAATTTCCGGGAGAGTGCTCAGGTAAAGGGAGCGAAAAAAGCGAGCAAAATTCACCCGATTTTCAGTCTATTTGAAACGAAGAAGAAGAAGAAGGCAACTGCTAGGCCTGAATTCTCGAGGTACATTCAGTATCTTAGAGAGGGAGGTTTTGGTGATGTATTGCAGATTTAGTACTTCCTGCAAATCCAACAATATTGCTGCAGTAATGTGAGATTAAACTTGCCGGGTTTTTTTAATTTTGGAGGTGATCATGACCATGTTGTTCTTGTCAAAATTTGTATATGGAATGTAACAGATCATGATTTTGGAATGTTGGCTTGTTTGCTATTTTTCTTTAAAAGGACTTAATACGGTTCAATTTTTATTTTTTTTTATGGTATGAAATTTTCTCCTAAAATATGCAAACGCCTCTTTTCAAATTTAACCATTAGGATTATATATATATATATATTGGTTTCCACCCAGTGTCCGATTCCCATATTGAAGTTCGACTTCATATCCTAAGAAACTCAAACTCGAGATTTCTGATTAAGGATGAAAAGAATATTGATTACACTAAAACAATTGAGACCTTAATTAGTAAAAACACTTCTTATTTATGATTTCATAAAAAACATGTTAAAAAGAAATGTGACTACTAATATGAAACTGAGAGAATATAATAAGTCTTATAATAGTATACTCCTATTATTTAAGCTAAATTGTATATGCAGGCAACTTCTGCGTACAAATGATGTTGTATGTTCTCTTAACCGTCTTTTCAAAAGGCCCATTATAGCAAATTCTTTTAAAATTTGTTAGAAGTATATACTAATGCCTGCTACGTCTGTCACATTTTCCTTTTACTTATCAAATTCTTTTAAAATTTCATAAATATTACCAATAAGTTTCACTTTTCCATTTAATAACTGCACTTGAATATATGTTTAGTTTACAAATACAGCCTCTATTCTTCAAAATTAGACGCTTAAACCCGTATTATACAGGTAGTCTCTAGCTAGGTGTTTGATTTTGAGATATAGGTATATCATTTAACTAATTTAATCGACTTCTATTATGCAGGATGGCTTTAAGTCTTGAATTTGAAATATAAAAAGGCAAAACTTAATCAATCACATATTAAAGGTGGTACAATAATTTAATAAAAATATAATAAATAAATACTCATACGACATGACTCCTTTTTTTTTTTAATATTTTCTTGTTTTCTCTAAAAAGGAGTGTACTCGTTCAATCAGGTACGTTGGCTTAAGAGTAATTAAATAGTTTATCCGAATTGATTTATTTTCATCCAGAAGAAAAAAAAACATGTAATAATCATAGCGTGCCTTGTTGGAATCAAGAAAATTAATTGTATTTCCGCACGACAAAGTCAAAACAAACTCTGCTAAGCCATATACTTACAAGCACACGCAACTTTAGAAAAATAAGAGGGCCACATATATAAATATATTATATTACTCTTATTTAGAAGTGGGAGTAGGGAAGGACGAACAAGGGCAAATAGGTAATTCTAATGTTAACTTTGGGGTAATTTATTTCTCACATGTGTATCCACTTTATCCCTTCTTTCATTGTTCATCGCTACAACCTACCGTCTGCTCTAGATTTGTTCTATCACTGGCTTTTGCTCTTCATCAAATCCGGATCATCATTTTTGGATCTCAGTTTTGCCTCAAATGTTTCTTCGATGTTGCTCTAATCCTTAGTTACAGTAAGTTTTGCTTTCCCTTCTTCCCCAATTTTTCGGTAATGTGTCCAACTCTTCAAAAGAACCTATAATCGTAGTTTTTTCCATTATTCTTTCGATTCTTAGGTTTTCTTTGGATTCTTAGGTTGGGTATCATAAACTGTATGTTATTTTCCTGTGCATGTTTGAAAATGTAAATAAATATGTATATAACTTTGATGTACAGAGTGCATCTATGGTGGTTTTTACCGACTGTCCACCTGTGCTCAAAAGTTCAATAACAACAACCAGAGCTCTCACTTCGAATCTACTTTAAACTCTTTCCCATCTTATTTTCTTTGACTGCTTCAAATCTGCTCTTGCTAAGTTTGTAAGTCTTTTGTTTTAATTGCTCTGCCGTTTTTCTTCGTTGTTTTTACTGCTGGTTAAGGATCTTTCTCCTTCACTCTTTCAAATCGGATCTCTTTTTGGCAAAACAAAGTTAAATTCTTAGGCGTAAAATTTCTAATTCAATCACCCCTTATATTCAATACAAGAAAAGGTGCAATATTGTTTGTTTCAATCATAAGAATCCACAGGTTCATGAAATGTCCTGTTTGTTTGAATCATAAAAACCCACAACTTCATGTGAATGTCCTGTTTGTTTCAATCATTTTCAAGATAATGATAAGCTAAGAATTATTTCAAGTTGTACTCATATACTCCACATTGATTGGTTTCCATATCTTCTATGAGGTTGCTGGAAATCTTGGTAATTCGTACTCTCTATTGCGAAGAGGAAAAATAACTATTTTCTGAACTCTCTTTGTTCATGATTACTGTTTATTTCTAAGTTTATTTCAATTTAAGACAATATTAGCTATTCATAGACTCATCAGCCTTTGCTATGAAGATTCAATCTTGAAGGATTGTCGTTCTTTAAGTTTTAACTTTCTTCTTTTCTTGAATTCAATGGACAACTCCCTAAGGAGCTGAAGATATCTTTTTTTTTGGTGTTTAATCATATTTGAACTTAAAAATAACTTGTGTATCCAATCAATAGAGGCTCCGTACTTGTGATAATTTCTTTTCTTTTCTTCTAGCTATTTTTTTTTTGGATAATTGAAACTCAAAATCAATCTTCTCTTCAACTCTGTCAGGTACATATTATTATGTATATGTGCTACGCTATGTTCATGTATATCAGTATATATACAAAGTTTTTCTCGACATTCGATGTTTAAAATGGTAGCCTACTAATTTAATTAGCCTTATAAAGGATGAATGAGATAGAACCTGAATGTGATAGACAGGTTCTAATAGCAAACTGATGAACAATTTAGCATTTAAACTCATATGAAGTGAAGGATCCTTAGCTTTTGATTTGTGATGAATTTGAATGAAATAGGACTTCATATGTGGTATTGATGTTTTCTATCGATTTCAGTTTAGTACTTTCTTTTTAATTTAGTCTTTTCAAAACAAAAAAAAATCTTTCTATATTCACTAACTTTTAAATTCCGACATTCTACACATGTTTAAGACCACAAGGTTCAACTGAAATTTTGATGTATTACACACATTTTAGTTTTAAGATCATATAATTTGAAAGCCATCCTTATTTTCTTGTACTCCGTATCCTGACCCACCATGACACATAAAATAAATCAAGGGAAGTAATGATTTTTGCCTTGTTTGACATACATTCTTACTAAATTTGCTTTGTTCCTGGTTCTGTCTAAAAATACCTCAAACGTATATAGTTGCCCAACCTAACTAACTCTACTATACTTTCTCCATTTCAAATTAATTAAATTATTGTGGTATTTCACATCCTTTAAGAAAAGAAGATTAAGACATAAATTAGGTATAACTTTCCATTTTTACCCCTATTAATTATTGTCAAATTTATGATTAAAATAACTAAACATTAATTAATAACTAATTCCAATACTAACTAATGAATGGTAAAATTGGAAGAACATTCTAAAAATAGTCTTGAAAATTGAACAATTAAGTTAATTTGAAAAATGAAAAATGCCTCAATAATTCAATTAATATGAAATGGAGGGAGTATAACATTATCCTTTATTTTCTCTAATCTAATACTAATCTCTAATTCCTTCATTTTAAGCCTAGTTCGAGAACATTTGGGAGCTGTGTTATTTTAATGAGCAACTCTCACATATAGCAAACATAAAAATTATATTTGTATGTTATAGCTATAGTTTGCATAATTGCGCTCCATAACAAATTTTATGTTTGATATGGAGCTTTTGATTTGTATAATTCGCTAGATACATCCAATTTTGTACAAATTGTTTGGTTTTGTATAAATTCATTTATACATTGTAATTGTATAATAAGATCTGTATCTGTATAATTATAAGTGTATAGGACAAAAATATATGTATTTGTATTTGTATATACACTTTTCTCTCGCTTTATACAAATACAAACACATTTTATACATTTTATACCGAAATGTATGAATGGGTAATTGTATACCGAAAATGGCTAATTGTATACCGAATGGGTAATTGTATACCGAAAATGGCTAATTGTATACCGAATGGGTAATTGTATACCGAAAATGGCTAATTGTATACCGAACCAGATGGCAAAAAATGGGATGTTTGTTGTGAATTACAAATAAAATAAACTATGGCTATAACATTTAATTTGAATTAATAGTTTGTTATTTCATACAATTTTCCCTATTTTTTATTACTTGTGAGTACCACTACTTAATTGAAATCATGTTTAGAGCAATGAGTACAAGAAGAGACTATAGAGGATACGATGAATTGATAATGTTGGAGCCTAAGTTAAGTAAAAGCAGAACGGTTCCAGCTGTTGTTAACTTCTTTAGCTCATCGTCCAAGAAGGTGAATACTCAGCTAAAGGAAGCGAGCAAGATTCACCCAATATTTAGTCTATTTCAGACGAAGAAAAAGAAGAAGGCAACTGCTAGGGATGAATTTTCGAGGTACATTCAGTATCTTAGAGAGGGAGGTTTTGGTGATGTACTGCAGACCACTTCCTCCCAATGCGGGTTCCTTAATTTTGCTTCTTTAGAATATTAGCCGAATACATAATTAATGAGTTTTGAGAACCCAATGACTTTTGCATGAATGTTGTATTTATATTGAGAAATTCATTGAATATGTAACAACTAGTTATTGGGAACCATTAGCACGTAAGTGTATGGTCTAGTGACTAAAATTAAAGCTGCCAAAGCTAAGTTTGTAATATAGGTATAACTATTGATCAATGTATTTAACTTCTATTTAGGGGTGTACAAAACCGAACCGAAAACCTAACTAAATTACAAATCGAGTCAAATTGATAAAAAAAACCCGACTAGTGGTTGGTTTGACTTGGTTTGGTATTGAAAAAAAATCAACTATATTTTGGGTTGGTTTAGTTTTAACTAAAAAAAAACAACCCGACATTTATATATATAATTTTAAAATTTTATTTTATACATAAAAATATTTACTTTGATATAATTTTTAAATATTTCTTATACTTTTTCATAGTTTTTATCTTCTAATATATTATTATTTCAAGTTTGAAACCTAAAATTCTAAATGGTTCAATAAAGATTATAGTCCACAGATGTTGGTAATTATAATAAAACTTAAATCAAAATCAAATTAATACTAATA